TGTGCTTGGCGACTTGAATACGCCGCTAGATCCACGACTCGACTGCTCTACGCCCGACTTGCGCTACGATCCGAGTCGATCCAGCTGCCTCGAGTGGTAAGCGAGGCTTGATGTTGTTGACGCATGGTGTATACATCATGACAAGAAACGCGTGTTGACAGGTCCATTCCCACGGAAGAACCGATTGAACTACGCGCTGTTGTCTGAAACATTCTGCAACTACGGCTCCTCTCGATACTTGTTATCGATACATGCTGGAGACCATCTTATGCACAGTGTGACATTCAGATCCGGCACACAGCTCCACGGTCGTGGGTACCGGAAGTTCCCCAGATACTTGCTAGACAACCCGAGGGTTGTCTCAGCAATCGAGAAGGAAGCTGAGATAGTGCGTGACAGAATCCGACTCGCTGATACTCGGGGCAATGTCTGGGAAGCGTGGGAAGTGAGCACTAAAAACAATTGCAAGATGTGCAAAAGAAGCTCCGCACTCAAGATATGAAAGCCGTCGAAGACGCCCGAATCGCGCTGGATCAAGCTGCTGCTCGGCATCGTGTTTCGTCGGATGAAGACGACCGCAAGCTCTACGACGAAGCCATGCGTCATTACAAGGAGACGGTCTTGCGAAGGAGCCAGTATCCACAAGATAATGCGTCTGACTTGTAAGCAGTAAACTGAGCGTTCGACGTCACATTTCTTCCGCCCCCTGGATGTGAGCCTACGCAAGATCTCGATTGACGAAGTTGAGACACCAGATGGAAGTGTCTCGACGAACCCACACGAGATCTCGCTTCGCTTCTTGGAGCACTGGGGGTCAAAGATGGATGACCCGGACAGTCCGTCAGGAAGAGCTTCCTCACCAGACGAAGTTATGCTGCGCGAGTTCCTGAACTCGATCACGCGCTTAGTCTCGGAATCCGATCGCTTGCTGGCTCGACGCAGATTTGACTGCCGAGGACCTTGAGGCACGACCCGGCACATGAAGGCATCGTCAGCACCAGGCATGGACGGCTTGACTACTGGGTTCTATCAAGTGACTCCAGACGTCTTTGGCGAGTGTCTCGCGGTTGTCTTCAACGACCGGCTACGTCGTGCTGAGCTGCTCGCGTCCCAGCACAAGTCGGCTGTCGTGCTGCTGCATAAGAAGGACTCGCGCGCTGTGCCAGGCAATTACCGGCCGAAATCCATTATGCCCGTTGACGTGAAGGCTCTTTCGAAGGCGCTAGTGTGTCGCATGATCATGACAGTCGGTGACGT